GGATGTGAATGTCGGACTGGTGAACGAGATTAGTATAGATGAAGTTAGATTGGCAGTACGAAGTATGAAAAATGGAAAAGCAGTTGGCCCCGACGGTATACCAGTGGAAGTTTGGAAGCTACTGAAAGAAGACGGATATAAGTGGCTGACTCTATTCTTCAATATGTTGTTGCTTGAAGAGGTAATCCCAAAGGAATGGTGTCAAACCCAACTCGTACCCATTTTCAAAAACAAAGGAGATGTTCAGGAATGCAACAACTATCGAGGAATAAAGCTCATGTCACATACTATGAAAGTCTGGGAGAAAGTGATTGAGAGAAGAATAAGAGATGAGAGTCAGATAACCCAAAGTCAATTTGGGTTTATGCCAGGACGCGGGACAACAGATGCTATATTTGCAATGCGCCAACTATGTGAGAAATACAGGAGTGCGCACAAAAACTTGCATATAGTGTTTGTGGATCTCGAAAAGGCATATGATAGGGTACCCCGAGAGGTTTTGTGGTGGGCTTTGAAAGAAGAAAGAGTGCCTGTTAAGTATGTAGAATTGATTCGTGCTATGTACAGAGAGTCTAGCACTCATGTAAGGTCGGTCACGGGAAACACTGATCAATTCAGTGTCTCTGTAGGCTTGCACCAGGGATCAGCTCTGAGCCCATACCTCTTCCTGTTGATAATGGATGCTCTGACATCGGACATACAGGAGGAGGCACCTTGGTGCATGCTATTTGCAGATGACATTGTGTTGGTCGGTGAGGATGGGGTTGAGGTCCAGAGCAGACTGGAAAAATGGCAACAAAGGCTGGAGAATGTTGGCTTGAAAATCAGCAGAACCAAAACTGAGTACATGTTCTGCGATTTCGGCGGTCTCTCCAGTCCTGAAACCATTTCGCTGGATGGGATAGCGATAACAGTCTGCTCCAATTTCAAGTACCTCGGCTCCCTCTTACAATGTGATGGTGAGATTGATCGAACTGTACAGCATCGAATCAATACGGGATGGATGAAGTGGCGGCAGGTAACGGGAACAACTTGTGACCCCAGTTTCCCCTTAAAACTGAAGGGACAAATTTATAAAACTATTATCAGACCTGCCGTACTGTATGGTTCTGAAAGTTGGCCCATTAAGAGAACGGATGAGAGACGCCTGAACGTAGCCGAAATGCGAATGCTGAGATGGATGTGTGGTGTGACTCAGATGGACAAGGTTAGGAATGAGTATATACGAGGGAGTCTGAAAGTAGCGCCACTGGATGAAAAGTTAAGAAGTAATAGGTTATCTTGGTATGGACATGTCATGCGGAGGGATGAGGAAAATGTGGCGAAGAAAGTTTTAGGTATGAGAATTGAAGGGTATAAGAGAAGAGGCAGACCGAAGAAAAGGTGGATGGACTGCGTGAGGGAGGATATGGCTAGCAAGGGAGTAAACAGTGAGATGACGCATGACAGAGTAGAATGGAAAAATCATACATACTGCGCCGACCCCAAATAAAATTGGGAAAAGGGTAGGCAGATGATGATGATATATATGTATACAGTGAGTTGTACTTGTCGTCATTTCTGATAGACACACCGGAACTGTAAATTCCTGTGCAATCTAAGCAAACGCAGTATCCAACATCTATATATCTGTCAAATATTGAAGATCCCAAACAATATTGCAAATTGCAATACAACCCACAAGACAGTACCATCATTTATAACGTGGGCGTGCAATGAAACTAGGGTTGACAGCAGTTAAAAATTATCTTTATTGCCATTATAATGCCGTTTCTATCCTTCTACACTAATAGTTGTGAGTTTGTATGTTCGGTGTAACCTCCGGTACTACTAATCCGACTTTGAAAATTCACTGTTAGTAGGGTATGTTATCCCTGAGTGCTATAGAATTTTTACCGCGAAAACCGACATGCAGGCGGAGCCGCGTGCAAAAGGTAGCTAAATATAATTACTTTACAAAGGATATCCTATTTTATTCCCTTTCCTTTAATTTCATTAGGTTTCGATTTTGTTTCGACTGGCCTTGAGGGCGAAAATTGTTTCACAATTGGTAAAGAATATCAGAAATAATTCGACAATTCCCAACCTAAAGAAATTCATATTTTTTTCTAATTTTTATTAAACTTGACTGATTAGTATAATATTGTAACCGAATTTAATTAAAAACAAGCTTATTCTTTGAAATTCTAATTCGAAAATTTATAACATGAAAATTATTTTCCCAAAATCCTAATATTACATCTGTAAAGTTTTTTATGGAACGGGTAAACGAGCAGACGGGTCACCTGATGGAAAGTGAGTACCGCCGCCCATGAACGCATGAAATCGAAGAGTCACCAGCGCGTTGCCGGTAAGTTCAGTTCATGTCTTTGGTCCAGTGGCCCCTAATTCTAGGGCAGACGTACGGGTGTCCGGACTGCATCTGCTGGTCGGGTCTTTGAGTTACGTTACGTTTGTACATCCCAGACTTGGGATATACCTTCCCCGTAGTAATTTCGACCTATTCGTGTTCCTCCCCCTCATTTAGCTTTCTTCGTCCCGTCTGGAAACGATTACATTAACAAGGAGAGTTCATCAATCACCTGAAACCACTTCAGCCTAAACCCTTTACAGTGCTATACACTGAGACGACCAGTGGAGGATTTGCTGTCTTGGTCGCCCTAGGCCCTGGCCATGTAGTTAGTACTAGCCGCCCCTATCGCAGATCCCACCCATTTAGAGCACATAATGCATTTACTTAATTGTCAATTTTATCAAACCAGTTGCAGGTTTCAAGGATAATGGCACGTTTAAATAAAATGTCATAAGATTTACCTTTTTTTTTCTGTGAAAGAGGGAACTGGGAACCAGGAGTACCCTAAACAGGGGTGACAGATGGCCTCACCTGTCCCCCTTTGTAATTCTATTTGGGGTCGTCTGGAACCGTCTGAGAATTAGGAGTAGGGGAGTAAGATGATTCATCATGATGATCATCGATTTAGAATGATTTTGATTGATAATTATTCACAAGAGGTTATCTTAGCCTACGGGCAGTATAATTCCGAAAGTAGACGATTGAGTGTAGTGTGATCTGAGCTCTAGTATCATTGAATGAGTTCTTTTCAAGTCGATTCAAAAGTAATCAAATTTTCGGCAGATAAAGCCTTCATTAAATGTAATTATTTGAAAACAAACGGTAGGCAACCCTTACCACAACGCCCACCGCCACTCAGGATAACTTAGTATTCAATATATTGCTAAGATAAGGTTTGCATTAAGCATACCAGACATATTTAGAACACGCTAAACACTCTATCCTGGAATTTTACCCGAAGCAAAGTACTCTAAATACTGAAGATAGCAAAACTAACTCAAAGAAAAATGTAAAAAATAACAACAGTCCACAGCAGACTTTTGTTAAACTCTTGGGTTACTACGAAGTTTCAAACGGGTCAGGTTTCAAACGAAAAACAAATCAAAATCGGGTGGCGAATAAAAATGTAACAACAAAATCAAAGTTGACCAGCCAACACAAGGAATATGTCTCTATTCATTGAGTGATATAAACGATTTGTTAACAATTAACGAGAACTTAAAAGTCAGAGTCACTGCACCGAAGCTTGTACGTGAATTTCTAAATCAAATCCCTTTCTTTACAATGAGATAAACTGAGAGCCATGAATGTCTGTGTATCTGCTGTCTAGTCACGTACTTCGATCGTGTGTGGGAGTCCGATAACAACTACACCCACATAGGAATGGACATGATATTACATTGGATTCATATGATGAGTACATACTAACCACTGTTTTTTTTAATAATATAAAATTACAATTACTCATAACTTAGTTATAAGCCTTTTGTTACCAACTTCTAAAAACGGGAAATTCTTAGTTTGCTCGAATATTACATTTTTTTTTGTGTATATGTTCCGTGATATTTTCGCCATTTATGGTTTTTGGTGGTTTCTGGTTTTCGTGACCCGTTTAAATTGAGAGAAACTATTTCAAATGTAAGAGTGGAACATTGAGAAATGAAGAATACACTTTATTTTACAATTTATTATGATTTAAGGACATTTCAGTCGGTGATGTCTTCTGGTCACTTTCAGCAAAAAGTTGAATACCCAAATATGTTGTGGTTTAAGTGTTCACATCGAAAGTTACAATACATCGAGAATTGTTGATTAAATAAATTATTTGCGGGATTCAATGGCAACTATTCTGAGACTGATTATCCTCTCTTGGGTTGATAAAAAATAATTGTTATTAACATATAAACTGATTAATAAATAAAAAGCTAAGTATTCTGTAGAAATATAATATTATCATTGTTTTTAATATATAACAGTACAAAAACGGTCAACCAGAGAGTCGACCATGGGGTCAAACACTGCCCTCAAGAAGACTACCAATGCTCTGCGATGATGACATCAAAAGGAGAGCAGGGAAGAGGTGGCTCCAGGTAGCACGAAATTGCGATGAGTGGCGTAGATTCAAGTAGGCCTACACCCGAAGGCTCGAAACAGGCTGAAGGGAGAGAGACAGAGAGTACAACACTATCACTACAAATCCTTTATTTTTCTTATACTTACGGGCATGTAATCTCCTCCGCAATTAACGTATATTTATGCATACATTTCAGTTTCTGTCTTTCTTCCAAGGGTAGTTCGGGGCGCGCAAAACAACACGTGCCTCGCGCCCTTTGAAATATGCGTGTGAAGCTTACCTGTTAGTCTAGTGGTTAGTGATTTTGACTGCTAAGACAAAAGGTCGTGAGTTTAATTCCACTTAGAAAAAAATATTTCGATAACATGTTCTATCAGTAGTCCGATTACCACAGTACCAGCTCTGTCTAATTTGGGATCAGCCAGCAGTGTGCGAGATATGTGAAGTTATTGGAACCTAGACGAATATTATATATAATTTTTAGGTTATTTTTTTCTCTTAATATTACCATAATCTACTTACACACTACACAAAAAAAGGACAAAAAAAAACAATAAATACATTTACTCTTATTTACATGTGTCTGTCTCTTTTGAAATAAGCTGATGACGACATGATGATTAGAATGACCATCGCACAGACGAGCAGCATCAAGAGATTGTCCCACCTGTTCAAGAGGTCGACCATCGTCTGCTCGCAGTAACATGGCCTACTGATACTGCTACTATCAGGAGTGCTATCTTCAAATATGTGCTGAGTCGAGTTGTTCGAGCTATTATGATTCGAACGCGTTCTTCGCGCAGGAGTAGAATCAAATCTAGATGATGAAGTATTCTTCTGTGTCTTCCGCCAGGCGTTCTGGTTTTTTAGCCAGCTAGATTTCGATTTCTTGGTTTCCGGGACTGAGTTTCGTGAGGCAGTGGAACTAGTCGCTGGCATGCTTAAATCGGCGCCGTTTTGCTCAATGCTTGGAGGTAATGAGGGTTTGTCGCTATCGCTTTCTTTAAACACTTTGTTTTTAATATCTTTAATCTCCGTTGTCGTAGGTAGGGAAATAGCTTCGTCGGAACCTGAGGATGAAAAATTCAGGATAGGTAAGAGGGTGGATAGGAAATGGGATTTGGAGATTTTGATGGGAATAGGAGAGTATTGGATGTGTCTATTTATATTAGTTTTTTGGTTTATTGCCTTTTATCACTTTACCCAGTTCATGAGTGTAAATACGGCCTCTTTCGTTATTTGTGAAGTCTGCACGCAATGGTGACTCGCGCTTAGCGCAGAGATCTTTATGAACGAATTCTAAATAATATTTACCATAACTAATAAATACGTAAGTTTGTTTATTAAGCTTCCACGGTGAACACTCAAATGGTGTAATCATAAAAAATTGCATACGTTGGCAGGAAGTGCTGTTCTAGGAGGATACGTTAACTGATTGGCACAAAATTACATTAACGCAAACGAAACCACGGGGAATAAATGTCTTTTGTATCTACGCACTATTATGTTAAACTACACTATTTGACGACCGGATGGCGTAGTGGTTTGTGTAACGGACTGCTATTCCAAAGGTCGTGGGTTCGATTCCCGCTCAAGACAAACATTTGTATGCATGAACATTTAATGTTTGATTTAGTCTGAGTGTTTCTATGTATAATATGTATGTATTTACAGAAAGGGGGTACAGGGTCAGGGGGTGTCAATCTCAACTTCCGGGCCGAAAGTTGTGATTTGATACACGGGTATGCGACCCCGGCTTCCCGAGCTACTATTGTCGTCACCTCACCTATATTCCGAGACAATAGTATCCCATTATATTTATATCCTCTCTCGCAGTCACAATTATTCCTTTCCAATCCTACTCCTATTTACGTCTCTCCTAGGTCTGCGGACGCCTCCCGCATGAAATATAAAGTCTGTTCCGGCTTTGACGGCAACCCAAAGTTGATAAACAAATGGTTTTTTGGCTGATTTGGCGGAACAGCAAGGCATTGCAGAAGGCCAAGGGCGACAGCAGAGGTCAAAAGCGCTGTCGGTCAGATGCTGCATCTAAACTCTTCTCCGGTCGTAGCGATTCTCCGTTCCATCGGATACAGAAGGGTAAAGACGAGAGAGTGCATCTGTGTTTGCGCGCACGCTTATGCACTTAAATATATCCCGCGCAGATGACTGCGGCATGAATAAAGGCTCCCGAGAATAAGTCCTGTGGCGATGGGCAGAGGTAGAGAGGTCGGGTTGTGATGTGCACCCGGCTTTGTCTGATGCCTGCACACTGGCGGCTCTGGTATTGATGGTCGTTTCCACGTTGCATCAGGGACAACAGCGTGGATTGGGCAGCAGCCAGAATGACGGAGCAGCCCTATTTAGGGAGGCACTGCTTCCCCCGCATGGGGAGGGGACTAGAAAAGGTGTCCTAAACAAAGCTTGTCCCAAATTTACTGGGGGGTAGTAACCGCGGCTGCCCGAGCATCCCATTTTTTTTTTCGTGGTCGAAAATACAAGAAAAATACAAAAACAACAATTATGACATTTGGTGCGTGGAATGTCCGCACCCTTCTCGATCGCGACGCTAACCTTTGTCCAGAACGGAAAACTGCTGTTGTGGCTAGAGAGCTTTCACGCTACAATGTGGACATAGCCGCTCTCAGCGAAACCCGCTTGCCAGATGATGGCGAGCTTATGGAATACGGTGGTAGATATAAATTCTTCTGGAAAGGTACACCGGCTACAGAACCAAGACGCTCTGGTGTTGGATTTGCAATAAAGGCCCAGATTGCTAGCAAACTGGAAGACTGTCCTGAATACATCTCAGACCGCGTAATATCATTGCGTCTGCATCTCGACAATGACAACTACTTGAACGTTATCAGCGCATATGCTCCAACAATGGACAAGGATGATGAAACTAAAGGTAAATTTTATGAAGACCTTACACGCTTGCTCACCAGGATACGCCCGAGAGAGCAGATTCTTCTGCTGGGCGACCTCAACGCTCGAGTAGGCTGTGATTGTGAAGCGTGGCCAGGGGTCTTAGGAGGACATGGGATTGGCAGTATGAATAGTAATGGTTTATTATTGCTAGACCTGTGTGCTCAATTTGGCCTAACCATCACAAACACATGCTTCCGGCTACCGGCAAAATATAAAACCACCTGGATGCATCCGAGGTCGAAACATTGGCATCTAATTGACTACGCGATTGTTCGGCAAAAACATATCTCCCAAGTCCATGTCACACGCGCTATGCGTGGTGCTAACTGCTGGTCAGACCATCGACTTATAGTCACAAAACTGAAGCTTCGCTTGCATCCACCGCGCAGGTCTTGCAGATGGAAACCACCCAGCATTAATGTTGAGCGGCTTGCAGATAAAGAAACGCGGATGGAGTACCAACATATTCTTTCCGATAAGTTGCCATCTAGCATCGACGTCGGTGATCTCAGAGCCAACTGGAGTGCCCTCACTTCTCAGATTATTGAAGCTGGAACGCAAGCCTTAGGCCTTAAAAAGCGTGTCCACCAAGACTGGTTTGACGAGAATGATGAGATACTAAATAAAGCACTTAAACAACACCGCGACCTTCTATATCATCAGCAACACGGTCGGACAGATATATCGGACAGAGTACGACAAAGTGGCTCTGATCTCAGAAAGATGACAAGGGAGATAAAAGACACGTGGTGGCTACAGAAAGCGGAACACCTGCAGTGGCTCTCTGATACAAACCAACTTGGTGCGTTTTTCGGCGAGCTGAGAACACTCACTGGAACAACTCAGCGAAAAAGTGTACCGTTAAGGTCACGTGACGGCGCGACGCTGTTGACGTCCAAGGGGGACGTGTTGAATCGTTGGGCTGAGTACTTTGCGGAACTACTTAATGTTGATCGGTCAGCTGATATTCAGCAGATAAAAGAGATCACATCTCTTCCGCAAAGACATGAGCTTGGTGAGCCACCGTCATTGCAGGAAGTAATAGTAGCTATCAAGAATCAGCAAAGCGGGAAGGCGGTTGGCGTGGATGGTATTCCAGGTGAACTTTTGAAGTACGGGGGGGAGGGGCTATATGACATGATATGGAAACTTTTTACTCAGATGTGGCGTGATGAGCAAGTTCCATCTGACTTTAAGATCTCGCAAATCTGCTCACTATACAAGAATAAAGGTGACAGGTCCAGCTGTAATTCCTATCGTGGTATATCGCTGCTCTCTACGCCTGGAAAAGTCTTTGCCAGGATTTTGCTCAACCGTCTGACCTCAGTTTCGGAGGAAATACTTCCGGAATCCCAGTTTGGCTTCCGCCCTGAGAGAGGAACCTGTGAAGCTGTCTTCTGCGTGCGACAGCTGCAAGAGAAAAGTCGTGAACAAGGTCGACCACTGTTTCTCTGTTTTGTTGATTTAGAAAAGGCTTTTGACTGTGTTCCTCGTGAGGCCCTATGGATTGTTCTGGAGAAGGTGGGTTGCCCAGCGAAATTTGTCCGACTGGTTCGCCTACTACACGATGGCATGACATGCTGTGTGTCTGCAATTGGGAAACAATCAGGTTTCTTCCCCGTCACATGTGGGGTTAAGCAAGGCTGTGTCCTTGCCCCCACACTATTTGCCATCTATTTTGCAGCTGTAGTGAACGAGACGCTACAAAAAGTACCTACAGGCGTCCGCATTCGCTTCCGAACTGATGGAAAGCTTTTCAATCTGGGTAGGTTGAAAGCCCGCACCAAGGTTTCGTACAAAATGATAACCGAAATTATGTACGCGGATGACTTATGCTTTTTAGCCGATTCCCCGACTTCTCTGCAACGGCTGATGGCTGGTCTTGACGAAGCGTGCACCACTTTCGGCCTTAAGATAAATGTCAGCAAGACAGAAGTCATGACAACAGGCGTCTCAACAGATGAACCTCTGAAAATCTGTCTCGGTCAAGATGTCCTGAAGCGCGTAGAGAAGTACAAGTACCTGGGAAGCACAGTAACATCACAGTGCGACCTTGATGCCGAAATAAACTGCAGAATCGGTGCTGCCTCAGCCTCTTTCGGTAAACTTAGAACTAAGGTCTTTCGTTCGCACGATCTAAAACTGGCTACAAAAATCGCAGTTTACGGAGCTATTGTCCTACCAAGCCTGTTATATGGCTCAGAGACTTGGTGCCTTTACCGCAGACACATAAAGACTTTAGACCAATTTCATCTCCGATGTCTGCGGGATATCATGAACATCCACTGGACGGATCGCATCAGAAACACTGAGGTTCTTCGACGTGCTAAGATCTGCGGTATTGAAGCATATATAATGCGACGTCAATTACGCTGGTGTGGTCACGTGTTCCGTATGCCAAATGAACGGATCGCCAAGTGCATCTTTTATGGCGAGCTTCAAGAGGGTAAGCGCAAGCATGGCGGACAGCTCCTGCGATACAAAGATGTGCTTAAAAGGCATATGAAAAGCTGCGGTATTGAGCCCTTATCGTGGGAGTCATCTGCGGCAAACCGCCCGGAATGGAGACGTCTCGTAAGGCAGAAGATCGACGCCTTTGAAAGCTCACGTAAAGACGAGCTCGACACAAAAAGAGACGAGCTAAAAGCCAGACCACCAACAGCTTTAAGTTACCACTGCAGTGGCGGCGTTCTCACTTGTCCAAAATGCTCTAGAACTTTTAAGGCCAAAATTGGCTACAACAGCCATATGCGAGCACACCACCGCGCGGACCAACGAGACGCCATCTGCTGAGCCTGTCCAGCAGTCGCTGTAGCCGAAATCGGCTCGGAGATTATTATTATTATTTACAGAAAAAAAAGTATATATGTATTTATATCAGTTGTCTAGTAGCCATAGTGCAAGCTCTGCTTAGTTTGGAACTTTTTTTTTTTTTTTTTTTTTTTTTTTTTTTTTTTTTTTTCTCTTTATTAAACATTTATAATACATACTTTTCCATGCTTAAAGTCTGCCAAACTGTAAAAACAGTTTGTCGGCAGTAGTAACTAGATGGCGTTGTACAATATTATATTGTATTGCTAGTCAGGAACAGTAGCCATCAGAACAAACAAATGTTGAAAGCATTTAGTACTTCCAATAC